TATATATTTTCTTTCAAATTTTTTGAAGTTTTTATATTTCTTAAAAGCTATATAATTTTACAGGAATTCTTTAAGGTAATTGTAATTATAAATAATAATTTTAATACAATAATGTGGCTTGTGAGGTAAAATTGGAATGCAAACGTTCATTAATTTGCAAAATGTAATTATAAAAATGACTTTTTATAATTATATTTAAGTTAAAATTTGTGTCAAATTTTATAATGTAATCATAAAATTGAATTTAGCACTATAATAATGAACGGATCATTAAACTAATTTCGTCTTTTTTTTCCAGAATGATGTATCATCCAATTACGAGTTTAACTCAGCGAATCGATTATGGATATCAGACAAGAAAAAAGTACGGGAATGTATATTAAGTCTATTTGGCAATCAATTGGAAAAAATCGATTTCAAAACCAATCCAAATGCTGTTCGTGATCAAATTAACAATTGGGTCAGCAATATGACTAAAGGTCACATTCGGGATCTTCTTTCCCCTAATAGTATTACAACAGATACTGATTTGGTATTGGCTAACGCTGTATACTTCAAAGGTCTTTGGAAAAGTCGTTTCAATCCTACCAATTCTAAGAAAGATATCTTTTATTCGTCTAAATCCCAACATTCTATGGTTAAATACATGAGGCAGCAGGGAAATTTCAACCATGGTAAGTTAAACATTTATCAACAATTTAATAATAATAAAAGAAACCAAATAATTTAATAGTAATATAAAAATACTTTCTTATTCAGTATAATATATACAACTTATCCGTATTAATCATTTAATCATTAAACAGTAATAAAAATTAAAATGATTTTTCTTTGTAGTTATCTCTGAAATACTTGGCGCACACGTATTGGAACTACCCTACAAAGGGAACGAAATCTCCATGTTTATTCTCCTTCCGCCATTCGTTACAAAAATTTCCAACGATTCCATGCAAAACGGGGAACGAGACAGTATTTACCATCTAATCGAACGTCTTTCCACGGAAGCAGGATATACAGAGATCCGCGATCTTTTAACCTCTGATTCACTCCCTCAACCGGTAGAGATCATCCTGCCGCGATTCGAAGTCGAAAAGGAACTTCAAATTACGACGTTGCTCGATGCCATCGGTGCTGGCGAATTGGTAATACCTGATGTGGCCAATCTTAAAGGTTTCGTCGAAGATGGTGAAGAACCGGTGCATCTTGGCGCTGCTGTCCATCGTGCTCGAATTGAAGTCACCGAGGAAGGGACTACTGCAGCCGCAGCCACTGCCATTTACACATTCCGTTCTGGGCGGCCATTGGTACCGACAGTCTTCAACGCCAATCATCCGTTCGTCTACTTTATCTATGAGAAACCGAAGCGTACTATCTTGTTCGCCGGCATTTATCGTAATCCCAATACTCCAAAGAATACTGAGGAGACAGCTTGAGGTATGAGCGAGTCAATGTGATCATTGTTTCTCGTTTTATCTTTGAAAAAAAAGTGTGTAGAGAATGAGTTTTGATGAAGTGTGTGATAAACTTTAATGTTTAAATTTTTTTTTGTTTCATGACAAATATGATGGATCGATATTTGCAAAGGATTAGTAGAAATTTTGTACAAATATTATACAAAGATTTATGATCGAATGTATGTAATATTTTCATAAGATTTCGTTTAATGGAATTAAATTATTGAAGAGGGCAATGAATTGAATAATTGAAGTTAAAATTTGTTATACTGTATGTGTAACGTAGAGTATTCGAATTTTTTAAGGGATGTTTGTCGCTACGAACGAACAAAATATTGATTATGCCGAAAATATAACGACGTATGTTCTAATATTATAATTTATCTCTTACAATATTGTGCAAGTTTGATATTCATATATAGTTCAATGCTGGACTATTAATAAAAATTGAAATTCTATTTTGTAATATGAATTTCAATATTATATTTTTAATATAAATTATGTAATAAAAATGGTATATAATCAATATTTATTAATTGATTTGAGAAAAAGAATATTATTTCGTGATACAAAATATAATATATATAATAAATATTTCTTTTAGATTCTTTTAAAAAGTATTAATTTTATATTTTTATAAAATGAATATCAGAATTTGATATTTTTATCATAAATATAAAAATTTATTTGTGCTTATATTTATACTAAAATTGGAGAATATTTTATTCATAAATATTTTATTTTTATGAATGAAAAATCAAGATATATTATAGTTGTGAAAAAGAAATGATGAAAGTATGTGCAATTTGATATTTCGTATTTCATTTATGGATACGCGCCAAGAGTAGACAAGGAGAGTAAATGTGGAAGAAGGATAGAGATATTTTAAAAATTATGAAATCAGCGCCATATCTAAAATGCCGTAAATGAAACACAATTTAGACAAGGAAAGTAAATACTTAAAAAAGGATAGATAGAATAAGAATTAACTTTTAGTGCCATCTCGTGATTATTAAAGATACTCTGTAATGACAAGATACGAAAAAACAAGAATTAAAATTTAGTGCCACCTGTTAATGATTTCAAGAAAATATTTCTAAAATTCAACAAGAGATGGCATTACGAGTACCATTTTAACCTATTTAATCTTTATCTCTTTCTTTTATTTGTTCTCCTTGTCTAAATATGTTTTATTCGCGACTTCAGAGATGGCGCTACCTATCTAACTTTTATCCTATTTCTATACTATTTCTATTTCTAAAATTCAACAACAGATGGCACTACCAATACCATTTTAACTTATTTAATCTTTATCTCTTTCTTTTATTTGCTTTCCTTGTCTAAATATGTTTTATTCGCGACTCCAGAGATGGCGCTGCCTGTCTAACTTTTATTCTATTTCTATACTTCTTTAATTATCTGCTTTCTCTTTCTATATTTGCTCTTGGCGCGTCAATTGAACATATTTTCATCATTTTTCTGCGTGTATTGTTAATCTTTAATGTAAGTATGGACATTCTCAATTTTACAATATATATCCGATGGGAATTTTTTGGACCTGAGACACTACTTTATGATAATGATACGATTTACAAACAATATTTTTATAATTTTTTTTTTTTATAATTTTTTTTTTATTTTATATTTTTTTTTTATAATTTTTTAATTATTGAAATTTAATTTTAATTCCAATCATTACTAACGTTGCAATCTTTTTCTGAACAGAATCGGTAACGCTGAGAATGACATTAGAATGATAAAATAATATATGGAACAAGAAAAAAAAAAAAGTATCGAAGAGTTAGTCTTTTCTATACTTCGTCTGCGGTAAAAAAAAAAAAAACACGATAATTCTCTTCAAGAACAATAAAATAAATTATCTCTCGTTAATGATACATGAATTACTCAACACTGAAATATCCATCGAACATTCCTAATCGATGCACAATAAATCAAAAGCCACCGACAAGTCGCGCCTCCATCGGCCGTGTTTCCAAGCAAATCGTTCCTCGGGTCGCGGTTCCATTCACTGGCATTGACGTCACAGAAAGCAACCGAGGTCCCGGTAAACGTGTGCACAAGCGACCGTTAGGCAGTAGCATCCGCAAAACTCGATCCTTGGGCAGAATCTGGTTGCGTCACGCGCCGATACAAGCGAACGGACACACGGACGCTCGTCTCGAAGTCTGGCAATTCTTGATGCAGGCTTCGATCCCGGCGAAAGATGAGCAAACTCGAGATCCGTGAGAGATTCGCCGTACTTCCTCGATGGAACGACTTTTCTGACCACTTCTGCACGAACGGTATTGCACTTACTAAGGAATCATTCTTGATCGATCTCTCTACCTAACCATATTTTTTTCAGACAGCCAATATAAGGCCACGAAGATGTGGGTTTTCTTGCTGTCAAGAAATCCCATACAGGGATCATCTTTGATCAATCGATATTCCCGAATAGACGAATCATGCTTGAATCGAAGCGCTTATTTTTTTTTATTTTGAGGTATAGCTTTGACTGGCACTGTCTATATATAATGTATAATCGAATAGATCAGGAATTTTTATAGAGATAGTAAAAAATGTATAAAGAGAAATTTATAAAAAAAAAGAGAATTGAAATGACGATAATGAGATTAGTAATATATATACAATACAATATCCTTTTTAATTTTGTCGATATTTAATCAATTCGTTTTTTTTTTATTACTTTTTTATCATGAATTTAATAAATCCTATTAAATATAGAATAATATTTTTAATAATATCTTAATTTTGTTTAATACAGAATAATATTTTTCATTATTCTTTAAATGCAATAAATTTTGTTATTAAAATTGTTATTAAAAAAAAATTAATTTCTCAATTTATAATTTTTACTAAATAGAAAAAAAAATATCATTTATTGCATATTTAAAAGTTTCAAGAAACTATTACAAAATCATCAGATTAATCGCACAATTAAAGCCGTGAGCACATAAAAAGATATTTAATCGCATTATCTTATCAGCAATTACACCATTATTACTGGAATAGTGGCGTGTAGAATTGTCGCAAGAACATTATCCATTTATTACCGCTGATAAATCGCTTTAATAAAAGTTTCATTTAAACACATTCTTGTCGATTTTATACACTCATCGCGATATTCTTTTTTGAATTACAAATTCCCGCGTATAGAAGCGCGTGCCATATGCAGCAATAGTATTGCGCGCGCAGACTTTATCTTCTATGTCCTTGCGCAGAATCATTCCCGCGATTCCCGCGTAAAGACACGTGACACCATTCCTTGCGTTTTTCGAAGCAGTAGTTTCTAGGTTATCGATCTTTTCATAGCGAACAACACAATAGACTCACGATTTCTGTAAGTATCCATTTACGTTTATGAATAATTTCGCGCGATCTGCAATTCTGATAAATAGGTACGATTTGAAAAAGCATCCACTCTGAACGATTGACAGATAAAATTCTAACGGAGTCTCGGTGTTGATCGGGCAACCTTGACAGTCTCGGTAAACGTGGAAACATTGTTAAGGTTTCCCTCGATACTTTCACTTTCCTTCCTCCTTTTTCGCGGCAAGTGCACAAACCCGTTGCAAAGATCACTGCGAACACGTGCTCCTACGCTTTGACGCTAACGGTAAATCCCGATGGGTTTCTCGTTTCTTCATTCGAAATCGATTTCCAACGAACGTTGACCGTGTTGCTAACCTCATTTTTTTTTTCCTTTCTTTGTTTTATTTTCATTTATTCGTTGTTTCAGATAGATCGTGCAATGTTCTTATTTGAAATCCTGCTCCACTGTTAAATAACTAACCTCTTAATTGTAAGTAAGATTTATACATATAATATATACTGTACATACATTTGCATCTAATGAATCATCATTGTATATATTATTACTCAAAAGTTTAGGTTTACTTTTAATAAGTAAATAAATAATTTCTAATTTCTTAGTCTGTTTCAATTTAATTTTACATAACGTTACATTGTGAATTAATTATTTAATAAATTTATATGGATTTTTGTGTCCATTATGATATATTTTCAAATTAAAAGATATAACGTAATCTATATAATTGTTTGAGGTATTATTATATTAATAGTTTCATGACATAAATATAAGATGAAATAATTTTCTAATAATCTTATTAAAGATAATAAAACTACATTATTTTTTATTTTATACATAATATATATTTTTATGTATAAAAGTAAAGTATTAAAAGTAAATATAAAACTTTTGGGCTATAATATTTAAATAATCTGATAGAATTTTTGAAAATTATTATATGTAATTAAAATAAAAAGAAAAAATGCTTTATATTATATGATTCTACATAATAATTTCATATTTTATATATATATAAAACATCCACTTAATCATCATATATAACATCCACATCATGTATATATAATATATCTGCAATCAAACTAATAGATATATAATACATATACTTTATTTATAAAATCTGTTTATATTCAAAATGTTTAATATTCAAAGAGATAAAAAATCTAATTAACTATCACAAAGCATCTTAAAAATAGTATGTGTATATAATATATTGTATATTATATTATAATATCCGTTGGTTTGAGATGAAGGGTTAGTTTCCCATGAAGTTTCGCTCTTATGCGGGTTTCCTTGGCGAGCCTCGAAATTCTGTGTCGGGATATCGTATTCATAAGGCACGTATATTAATGGACGTATGGCACACGGTACTACACCGGTGCACGTGCAACACATAAACCACTTCCTTGACAAGACCCAGTTTCGATGTCTTTCGCGTCTGTCGGTGCTTAATTATGCTAAAGGAGCATTTACACGGGTGCAACGTGTTGGTAGAAAAAGAAAGCACTTCCTTTTTAACTTGTTTATCGATCGTCAATTATTTATGTGCGAATTTTTTGCGAATGTCTTTTTTTTTTCCATTCGATTGTATTTGGAAAATATTATAAAATATTATCGAAGGAATTTTATATTGTAATTACGATTACAATTAAATTAAATTTAGCTTGGTTTATTAAATTTTAAAATTTTTGATAGATATATAATATTAGCATTGTTCGTGTCTTATTGCAAAGATAATTGTAATATTATAAAAACGTAATATCATTAAAATTATTTGTAATAGACAAGAAATATAAAGAATAAGATTCTATAAGAAGTTAGGAGTTAATATTTCATTATCTTCATACACTTTATTATTAAAATTAATATTAATTTATCCGGGAAATGATAATAAAATTATAAAAAATGAGGTTAATGTTATTTTTCTTCTAATGCTCTTTTTCAGTATCTTGTCTATTATAAACAGAATTTTTGCAGTAATAAAAGATCATAAATTAAAATGTGCTGAGGTATTATTCTTCGTTAAATCATTTTAAGATTTTTTATAACGATTTATTTACGTGAAATATTCAATACATTAATCATCTTTTTTCTGTTCTATGTATTGAATTTCATCCAATTAAATTTATTTCTTCATCAATCTTTATTTTGCGATGAATTTATCACATAAAACACCCGATTTCTCTGTTTATATTTTATTATTTCGTTTCAGAACTGAAAACAATATCTGTGTATACAAATATTATTGATTGAAAAAGAGACAAGGAAAAAAATAACATGGGAGTAACGTTAAAATTAAAAATTAACATAGCAAACAATACTTTCTTTTTGTAACTTCGAATGGCCTCGGCCTTCGCGTAGATGGCGCTTGAATGCTCACAAGGCTGCCCAATAAAAGGCGATAAAAGCCCAAAAACCATGCAAAGGCGGCGGCAATAAATCACTCGACAGGACCGTTTTCTCGCAACCTGCAATTTAAGCTCGCTCTTTAAACTCTCCATTAAGTACTCGCCTCGTCGTTTTCAATATCTTTTCGCGGCTCTCTCGTCGACATGTTTTTAATGTGTATTTCGCGACCAAGTGTTTACGACTTTTATTAACGCTCGCAAAGATCCTGGACAATCCATCGAGGACTCTTCAAACAGTTTGTATTCTCACACATATTGACTTTTTGCTCGTCGATTACCACGACGTTTTGTCGTGTTCTTTGAAGGGGTTCTCCGCTGACCGATTTTTTTTACGATCCTTCGTGTTTCGTGAATTTTTTATAACTCTGTCGTAACAATTGAGATACGAATGATAGAATGGAATTAGATATTTATCAAATTTAAATTTATTCCCATAGCTAATATTTAATTTTGGAGAGTTCAAAAATTAGTTAGGTATATTAGATATTAAAATATACAAAGCCTCGTTAAAATAGAGAAATTAGTCAATGTTCAAATCTATTTATTAAAATGATAACATCAATACCTAGTAAATAGAGAATGTTGTAAGAATTCAAAAATCATTATGACATGCATTACTTTTTATCTTTTTACCTACTTAAACTGTAAAAAGACGAAGAAATGGCAATTAAAAATCCCAATTTTTTGCATGAAATTCCAATCACGATCTCCCTTCGTCAAAAAGGTGTTTCGAAAAAAGACTCGGCGTCTTCCGCCACGTCGTTCTTCATTGTTCGTCCAACTGGTCGGTCGAGCGGTAACTCGCTTCGAAAACCTGTCGACGGTCTTGTTTTTACGGTAGCGGAGATATCATACGGGTGTCGGTCACTTTCTTTTCACCGGCTCTGGGACACGCGGTTTTTCGTACACGCCTGTTCCACATCCTTTGTTCGCTAATTATACATTGGTCGTACGTGGTACATAACGAAACTAGATCAACAACGGTCAAAACTGATCGTGCACTATTATTAATCTCAATCGGTGTCAAAGTTGACAATCGTGAGGAGAATTACGAAATAATTGCAACATGTAATTTAACAATTTCTGGTTATGGTTCTCTTTGCTTTGTTTTTTTATCAATATACATATCTAATAACATATTAGAATAAATTAGAATTTAAATCTCAAAAATTACGATTATTTGCTACGAGCCTACATTACGTTTTTTTAAATTTTCTATTCGATCTCGATGTGTCCATTCTTCGTTATTCGAAGTCATACGATTTAAAAGATGACAATTCAATTAACAAAACTTCGTAAAAGAATCATGTAAGAGAATATTGCAAGAATAACTCGAAAAAAAGAAATTTAATTAATCACATAAATATATAATATTGTATATGCATAATCGCAATTGCATCAAGATAAGATCATCCCTTAAATTCGAGCTTTTCGTACAGCATCGATAGACATCCGAGAGATTCGTATAATTTGATATCGTCATCAAGATTGCGAACGATGACAAAAAAAATTATTCGCAAAATTGTTTGGAACGGAAATCTATAGGAGCAAATAATTTCGCAGATAATTCCATTGATAAGGTCGAAACGTCCCGTGGAAACGTTAGAACGAGGGCGAGCGTTAGAACGATAAGTAAATGCACGCCTTTAACAGCTGTTCCGCTAATGATAGCCGCTTGAAAATATAAATCCGCTCGTTTTTCTAATTACACCTTGGTTCGTGAACGCTCTCGCGCTTGTTCCGCGATCCGATGAGCCCGATAAAGCGTTCCAGTGAACGCCACGGGATCTCCGCTCGCTTTGTTCCTGTCCCGCCGCGCGCGAGAAAACACATATTTACTTTCAGTCGTCATCCCGATTTCATAAAGTTAACCGGCATCCCGTTCTCGGGCCATTGTATTTTCATCTGTTCGATGCGAATATTATATTGTATGCACCATCTATAAGTTGTTTTATTAGAGCGTTAATTGTTCTGTCGGATGGTGCAAGAATAATAATAATAATTATTATTATTATTTTAATCTTGTATGGGGTAAACGGAGTAACTTGATTAGTTGAAGTGTCTCGTTTGTTTTATATGATTTTAATTTTTTTTTTTTTCTAGAATTTCTTTTGAGGGGAAATCAATGTAACTGATAACGTAAAATACAGGAAAATTTTTTATGTCAACATCTTTTAAGGGTCATATTTGTAAAAAGAATTTTATAAAGTTGTTTTATAAAGTTCACGTTTTTAAAAGAGATTATCTGTTGATAAAAATAATTTCATGTTTAATCTATTATTCTAATTTTCATTGAAATCAAAATTTGTACGTTATGTAAATTTTCCTCTAATAATGTTCTATTGTTCTAATGTTCAATTGTTCATAATGATTCAAGTTTGGACATTATAAGAGTTTAACAATATTATCATATCATTCAGATAAATGAAATTATATAATTTTATTATATAGTTAATTGTATATGTTAAATTAAAGTATCAAATAGTAGCATTGATTGATGGAATGGCACTCATGATTGCATGTAATATTCTAACTTTTTTGTAATTAAGATATAATTGAAAGAAAATCATTTGTAGGAAGTGAACTAATTAAGTTATAATCAGTAAAAAATGTAGCAATAAATATAGCATATCTTAAACTAAAATGATAATACTTATATGTAACATTTTTATCTCTTTGAATAAGAAATTAAATTACATCCTATTCTAAAATTAATAAACATTGCTAAACTAAAGCATCAATAGTTTTACAGTGATTGATATAATATATTTAAGTTTATAATATTCTACAATAGAAATTGAATTACAACTAATTGCAAGATATATAGTTGATAGAAGAAATATAGTAATAATTTCTATAGTAGTAAGTAAAATTTCCTAATAGACGCACATAGTTGCATATAATTCTTTTTTAGTAGAGATTGCATTATACCTAAGATAAATTAAAGGTATAATTGATGAAAGAATTTCGATTAATAAAGCGGTAGAGACTTGGAATCATTTTTTATTTGGAATAAAAATGGCAAATAAAAATTTATTTGTGTAATATTTGTGTAATTTATCAAAT